TACCAGAAAATTTACCATTTTGTTCACTAAATTCAGGTTCAGATGTGGGTTTGGGCACTTTAGTGTATAAACCTCCAAGAAATGGAGCTACACTTTGGGAAATAGGTGTTGCTGACCGCACAGCAGCTGAGTTCTATATCCCAAATCCAAGCGCCATGTACAAAGTTAATGATTTTGAAGATCAATGGCAAAACAAGTGAGTTCAATCTCGATTTAACTTTGGGGAATACTAGTTGTGCTCACAATTGATTAGAATTCTTAACAAAATAAGTGAGGTCAATCTTTAATACTCCCTCCGTCCCAAAAAGATTTACACGTTTCAAAAAAATTGCGTCCCACAATCCCTTACCCATTTCTATTAAAAAACCACTTTTACCCCTTACTTTTTCAAACCCTACCTACCACATCATACCTTTTTCCTAATAATCTACACATCACATCCTACTTTTACCCATCACATCAAGGGTATTTTTGGAAAGTCAACACAAAATTATCCCTCCCATAATTTCAACTTTAGTCAAAATGGGTAACACTTTATGGGACTGAGGGAGTACAATTCTTATTGAATTTTTATAGGGAATTGATCTTATGGAATCATCCATAGCATCAAAAATCTCTCTTTCAGATTTTTATGTGGAGGGAAAGAGATTATTTTGGCAATTTCATTTTGCTAGCTAAGATCAATCGTATCTTTCTAATTGGGGTCATAATCATTTACTTGAAGGTTTAGAGAATATGGCCTGTGGAAGCGCTATACAGACTTGTATCCTCTGACTGATCTTGTCTACACTATTGGAACTAGCAATCACACTAGAGATTGGTTTTTCGCTCATGTTACCAGGTATGAGTTAACATTTTTCACCCTTATATTAAAAGTTCTATGAATTCTAAGAAAAAAAATGCTTAGTCCAATTGGCGTGTTGAGTACTTGAGAGTGGTATCTGGTTGCCATTATAATGTTGCACCCATTTCAGAGAATTTGAAAATGGTACCTATGGAGCAACCACTTGGAAAATTGTATTTGAGCTACAAAGTGTAAATACAGCATCATATTACACGCTCCAACTTGCATTGGCATCTGCTCATGAAGCAGAACTACAGGTACGAGTCTCACCTTTACCTCTTCAGTTACCATTTCTTTCCTAGCTTTACAACCCCACAACAAGTTTCTAAAACCATTTCTTTTTTATCTAATTAATGACATAATCACTTGCTACAAATGACTCAGTGATATTAATTTCGCCTTTTTAAAAAAATACTCCATACCTGATATACACTATGGCTATTAGAACTAAGTTAGATTCATGACTAGTCTAGTTGAAAGAATTCTTCTTTGTCTGTACGTGTCAAACAAGCTTTCCTTAGATCATGTGTATTCACAAGCCCTTAATTCAGAGTCCTAAGTTAATGTTCTTTACAACTACTCCGAACTGAAGGTGCGTGTCAATGACGAAGGAGCGCAACCCCCACATTTCACAACTGGCGTTATAGGCGGCGACAATGCCATAGCGAGACATGGGATTCATGGGTTGTATTGGCTGTTCGGCGTTAGAATAGAAGGATCATGGCTTGTTCAAGGGAGGAACATCATCTTGTTAACACAGGTAGGAGCCTCCAGCCCTTGGAGAGGTGTCATGTATGACTATATTAGGTTAGAAGGCCCTGATGAGTTTAGGAATACTGCATATAGTACCTGTATTTCTTTTCCTTTTCCCTTTTTTCTATCACTCTTTTTTTCTCTTTTTATTTTACTTTTTTGGTGAAACAAATTTCACTTGCATTGTTGGAGTCCTTATAAATGTGAAAATGTAATACTCGTAATAATGAGTAGTAGTAAAACTGTCAATCTACTTGCTTTGTTCTTGAACGGAAATAGACTGTAGAAATGCTTCACAACAATGGCGGGTAAATCATCCGTACAAACTCATAAAGCATCAATAGCATAGGAATGGAACATTCGAACCCCACAACAATGGCGGCGGCGTCTGTTGTTGGATAGGATTGCATTTCAGGCTGCCATTGCACTGAAATCATTAAAAATATGGAAGATACATCTGCATGTAAAAAAATTATGTACGGGGCTCTCGACAATCCACGGGGGAAGAGTCGTTGGAGAAGCTTCGAGACGATCTCAATCGGGGCGGGGTTTCCTTCCACTCGAATGCTCTATGTTGATAGGATAAACATACTCCGTATTTATATAAAAATTAAATTAAATAATAAATATACATGAATGAGCATTATATTTCAAAAATATCAAATCTCTAATCCGGTCTCAGTCTAGTTTTTCGAAAAAGACTTTCTGGTTCGGGACTAATCTATTCTTTCATAAAAAATCAAAGACCAAATGAGACTATCGGTCCAAGACTATACCGATCTCAAGGACTACTTCGACCCCATCTTTTTATATCACAATCTCAATTTATCCTGATTAATCTTTTTGATCCAAGTGTTTATGCTCACTCACTAATGGGAGCACTAGTGCACTACAAAAGACATGGGGAACTTCTCCCATCATCTATGGCAATGGAACCATGGTAGGGTGGTTTCCCTGAAATAGAAAAAAATTGTAATTCCTAAATGGAATCCGAAATTCTCCAGATAGAAAATTAAATAGAGCCCATGCGAATTGCTTTTTTTTTATTTAAATATTTTGAAAAAAGCACTCAAAGCGTTAGATTCCTATTTTTGAATGCATTGCATTCGAAATTGGCAGAGCATTAATTATTCAAAAATGCGTACAGTTGTGCTCTCTTCCATCTCCGCCACACCCACACATATGCAAGAGAGGAAAAAAAATTTAAAAGTTAAAAAAGAAATTAATGGTTATGATCAATGGTGTACAGATGGGGTACACTATTTAGTGTACCTTTAGCATTCCTCTTAATTATTTTCTGCACGCGACCCCTTCATGATTGACGCAACTATAGCACGCCCTCATCCCTAATTCATATATAATTCAACCATTCATTCAACACTATCTACCCATTCAATACATCTCCTTACAATACTCCTTATATCTACCAAGTTCTATCTATCATATTATTTTAAACTTTTTTTTATTAGAATCTACGTTGAGTCGGGGGTCTCTTTGGAAACAGCCTCTCTACTTTCGAGTAGGGGTAAGGTCTACGTACACACACTCTCTCCAGACCCTACTCTTGTGGGATTTAACTAAGTTATTGTTGTTGTTGTTTATTAGAATCTTACACTCTTGAAGATTATTCAAGTATTTATTTTTATCTATGGAGTATTATTTATGTAATGCATTTATATTTCGTACAATAAAATTGTGAGTTTAAATAATGTCAATTGATGGCATTGTTAGAGAGAGATGAAGATAGAGTTTTTGGGTCCAAGAATCCAAGATATTTTATATTTGCAAGATAGAAATCCATTGAGTCGTGTTTAGAAATATAAAGAATTTTGTGATCATGGTCTAATCATCGTTCTCATTGAGCGTTGGAGGCAGAGGTGCATGCCTTTCATTTCTCTTTTAGTGAATTGGGTACCACTCTACAAGATGTGGAGTGACTATTGGGTCTCCATATTGATCGTTTTCTCATTGTTGCGATTCCACAAAATATTTTGCAAAGGAATCAAGGGGCTAGAGATTTCTTTTTTGGGATGTTAATGTTGCAAAGTTTGGATGCCCTGATCAATTCAAGATCATGACTGTCTTCCCAAAAAAAGAAGCTTGAACACCACGTTCAATTTGATAGTGATTGGCAAGATTGGAGAGTAGAACAATAAACTGCCCGGATAATCTACGGGTATTTGAGGGTCTCTTATTATGGAATCTACTAGGAGGTATGTACCTATGGATTTCATAGAATACCTCAGAGATTATGACACGATTGTCCGATTTTGTTAGGGTTATATGATTCTTGCACGCTTATCTAGTAGCTTGTGTCACCCATCTTTGCGGACCAAGCAAGTGCCCCGACCATGTGGATGCATGCTACTTCTCCAACATTGGGCATGGGCACAAATTTTAACAATTTGTCCAGATGTGCGGAATTATCAATGCCTATCATGATCTCCCTAAGCTACAAATCGGGTTGATAACGAAGCGTTATTGTTTTAGACACGTACGGAGCAAATTTATGACAAAGTTCCATCACAGTGAACTTAAAAAAAGTTTGGGTCGCCGTGAGCATACCTAATATTGAACAATTTCATGGGTACATGATAGAAATATGGCATGGTAATGAAGCAGCCTATCAGTACTTGAACAACATTCCCAGTGTAGCGTGGGCTCTCTGCTTTGATGGTGGAAATATATGTGGGATTCATATAACAAATGGATCTTAGAGTTTTAATAATATGCTCAAAGGCTATCAGATGTTACTTGTCACGGTAATTCTAAAGATATCGTACAATAAAATGGTTGAATCCTTTGCAAAACGACATAAGATTGTTGTTCAGTGGGTTCAAAAGAATATGCTAACTACTCTAAAAATTACAACCTTTCTTTGACACCGGGAAAAAACATAGCACAAATTGGTGGCTACCAATTACGATAAAAATCAATACGTTGTTAGTCACACTTCTCGTTCTGATCCATCCATCACATGCAATTACATGGTGAATTTAGTAAATAGAATATGCATGTGTGGACAATGGACTGCTAATTTAATCCCCTACGTGTACGTTCATGACATGTTTCATGATTTTCTAGAACTCGCGGATCATCTGGTTGCAGAAAAATACTTAGGTCAAAACTTTTTGAGTTGTTATAGCGGTAGCATTGAATCGGTGATTTTTCCAAAAAAAAAAATTAACATGGGTGATTGGAAAGTCTAGTCACTTATACGGGTCGTAGGAGATACTCTACGTCGAGGACGTTGTCAACAAAACCGTTATCGAGGAGAGATGAACTACACCGGCTAACTAAGATGTCATTGTCTTTTCATTATTGTACATTTTCATTCAATTACAGTTTTTTTTCTCAATTGTGGTTTTTCATAACTTCCAATTTTTCCAAGAATTTCCCTTCCCTTATCCATTTCCTTTTCTTATCATCCGATTTTCAACAAGTTTATCCGCTGGATCTTTATATTTACCCGGGATCGAAATTAGTCAAATGCCTTGGCACAAAACCGTCTATAACAGCTCCAATCTCCTTTCTTTGCGCTGGGATCCGTCTTGGTGGCAAAGGTCACTCAAAACAAACAGAGCCAGGGACTTCAAGCATGACTGAACTGCACCCAGGCATCTTTTCGGACCCTTTATTTGACAAGGAAAATCTCGTGTGTTCGGCTTCTTCCCACCGTTCAGAGGCAGCATAAATGTTGGAGAGTGACACATAATGGGCATCGTCGCAAGAGTGGCTCCTAGAGTTCATTTCTTTGATCTCTTCAAGCACAAGTTCTGCCATGTCCATGTTGCAGTGAGTTCGGCATGCCCCTAGTAGAGAGCCCAAAACCGTGTCATTTGGGCTCAGAGGCATCTCCTTGATCAAATCAAGAGCCTCCTCTAGTTTTCCTGCCCTTCCTAAAAGGTCAACTAAACAACCATAATGCTTGATGTTTGCTACCAACCCCATCATCTCCATTTTATAGAAAATCTTCATACCTTCGTCTACGAACCCACCATGTGCACACGCTGTCAGAACTGAAAGGAATGTTATCTCGTTAGGAGTCACACCGGGAGAGTTGACCATTCGTGTGAAAAAGTCAATAGCCTCCTTAGGCTGTCCATGAACGGCAAAAGCAGAGATCATTGAGTTCCATGCAGCATCATTTTTATGGGGCATTCCTTCAAAGATCAGTCTCGCATTCCTCAGATCGCCACACTTGGCATACATGTCAACCAACCCATTCAGAACAAACCGGTTCAGCTTAACACCCTTCTGAATGATCATCTCGTGTATTTCCTTGCCGACGTCCAATGAAGCCAGCTGAGCAGATGCCGATAAAGCACTGACCATTGTAACCTCATCGGGTTCGAAACCTTCATCTTGCATTCTTTTAAAGCCCCCCAAAGCCTCCTTGCACATCCCATTTTGCGTATATCCAGAAATAAGTGAATTCCAAACTACCAAATTCTTTGAAGTCATCATCTCAAAAATGGCTTCAGCATTCTTATCATCACCCTTCTTGAAATACCCCGATATCATCGACGACCAGACATAAAAGTTTTTTCCCGGCATCCCCTCAAACACTTCCCTTGCAGCATCCATGTCCCCACTGCTAGCATAACCATCGACCATCACAGTCCACGTCACCACATTTCTCAGCTCATTCGGAACCTTATCAAAGAAGAGCTTTGCCATCACTACATTGCCATTTCTCCAAAAGCCATGGATCATTTCATTCCAAGTTACGGAGCTTCTCTCCGACATTCTCTCAAACAGCAGGAGTGCAGAGCCTGTATCCCCATTCTTCATGTACCCACATACCATTGCATTCGACGTGATAACATTTCTGTTGGGCATATGATCAAACACCTTGCAGGCACTCGCAATATCACCACATTTACCATACATGTCAACCAATGAAGTGCCCACCATAACATCGAATTCCACCCCTGACTTTACACACTCGGCGTGTAAAGCATTGCCAAGAACAAGATCAGAGAGTGAGGCGCAAGACTTCAGCACCAGAGGCACGGCACCTAATAACACAGAGTTTCCTGCAAAACGGCTTCGGGCATAGAGCAAAATGGCTTCCTCATACTTTCTTTGGGATACACAGTTCCACAATTGATACGACCAGTCTGATGATGGTGGGTTCGGAAGATGGTTTTGATTGGGAAGATGGTGCTGTGATGATCCTGGGGGGAGGCTTAGGTGTTGGAGAGTCGAAAGTTTTTTCTGCGGAAGATTTAGGGGCCCAGTGATAATCAAAACCAACCTTGGGCTCAAAGCTGTGCGGAGCTTCATTCCCACCAGCCGCGTCGGGAGAGATGAATATATGATTTAAGCCGGATTTCTTCAGCAGGAGGGACTGGAATGGACTGCACCACCCGTGGGAGAAAAAAGCTACGATTTGAATTTCGCGCGATTCGGTGGGGGGGGGGGATGAGGTGAGATTGACGGTCTAAAGATTGGGGAATGATCCAGATTGAAAATGCCCTGATTGGGGATGGGTATACTTTTTTTATCTAATTTTCTCCAAATTGAAGAGCAAGACGGCACCTCGATTCCTTCACCACTCACCAGACGATCAAATTCTATACAAGTATATAATTTTTATATTTATTGTAATAATTTCTGACATATAATTTTTAAGAGTTTGATTTTGATAGAGTCAAAATTGACTTAATTAATCATTTATTCAAAAAATCTCATATCAAATGATTTCATTTAATCTAATGATTTATTTCAATAAATCATTTAAGAATTCACATCAATCGTACAAATCTTAGTTTACGTTTGTAATCAAGACCACACACATTCAATATGTGTATAGAAATCATCCTAAATAGGACTAAAACATAGATAAAAGTATCAAAATAGGACTTTCATGTTTTTTTTCCCGGAATAGGACTTTGCATTATGGTAATGTGACTTTGCATTGTGGTAATGTGGCAGTGTACATGTGCAAATTACTATAGTTTCTTGATAATGTATATGACCATGTTTGGTAATGTAAGTCTTATTTCGGAAATAAAAACATGGAAATCCTATTTTGGTATATTTTGAATGTTTTAGTCCTACTTTGGTCTTTCTCCCATATATATATTGAATTTATCTTGATGAGATTTATCAAAAAATAAAATATTTTATTAAGAAACAATTTTGTCTAATTGAAGAATAATTCAATACTACTTATAGGTTGTGTTTTGGGGCATTACATTTCCAACTTTGAAAACTTGTTGCTAAGGTCTCTCACTAATTTGCCACCTCACATTTTGTTCTTCGAAAATAACTTTAGGAATAACTTTAATCTTTGTTATAGAGAATGAACGCTGCGAAGCAGCATTGAAGATAGGGCTGGGTCGGGAAAATCGAAAACCGAACCGAAATCGATCGAAACGAGCTAGAAAAAAAACCGAACCGAAAAAACCAAAACCGAATGTAAAAAAACCGAACCAAACCGTTATTGTTTGGTTCCGTTTTAGTTTTTACTTTGAAAAACCGAACCGAACCGAGTAAACCGAAGTTATTTATATGCTTCATTTTATTTATATGAGTATATGTGATATGTATAAAAATCATATAAACAAAAAATGCAAATAAATTACTAGTCAAATAAAGTTTTTTTCTTAACTATTAAATAAACATTTTAACCATATTATAAACTTTAAAAAATCTAAGAATATAAATATCAATAACTAATCCTAATATAGAATTATATAACATTAAAAATTAAAATGAGTAGTTAACATATTTAAATAAAAAAACTTTGATGTTATAATGAAAATGAAAGTATTACAGAGTATATAAAAAAATCCAATTCTCTGCAATTGATTTTACATACGATATCTTTAAGATTATTTAGAATCTTCTAGATGTTTGTTAGGCACTTGACACATATTTTGTATATAAAATTGAACCAATGAGAACACTAACCTTCCGCTCGGCTTTTTTTGTGTGTAAAAATCAAGCAAAAAAACCAAACCTGGACTTACGTATTGTTATTGCTTTGTCAAGTTAGTATTTATACAATTTTTAATGCTTATAAATATTTACTTTTATAAATCGAAAAAACCGAAAAAAACCAAGATAAAAACCGCAAAAAACCGAACCGAATAACCAACGGTTTACATATTTTTCATGCAAAACCGAACCGAACCGCCAACTTACCTTCCATTTTGTCTTTGGTTTTGGGTAAAAACCGAACCGCCAAAACCGAACCCACCCCTAATTGAAGATTCGATAAATGAAAAACGAGAATTAGAACTTGATAGTTTAACAAACCTCGAATACGCTTTCAGATAAAAGTTATTTCAGGAATCCCAAAATATTTTAATCGGATAAGACGTTAATTAAGAAAAAAGCCTTTTGAAATCTAAGAGTTGACATGACTATATTATATACTCCCTCCGTTCCTCACATATATTCTCAATAGCCTTTTTTATCTACAATATATCTTCTCATTTCATTTTTTTTAACAATTAAAATACCACAACTATCCTCACTTACTTTATTTATTACACCTCACCCACCTCATTTAATACACTCCACCCATTTCCATTAAAGATATTATGGTAAACTTTCACCTTTTTTCAACTCTCCTTAAAAACTACCAAAAGTCAAAATGAGAACATCATAAAAGGACGAAGGGAGTATAAATATGTAGTCAAATAATTAAACATAATGAATAAAGTTTGACTGTGTAATTAGTATTTTGTATATGAGAAGAACATTTCCGAACGAATGGATCGGAGTTGTACATTGAAACTTTTTTTTGAAATGAAATTGATGTATAGATTCTAAAATTACAATGACATTTTTATGCTCTTTCACATTTTCATGTTACAAAAAAGCGCACGCACTGGTTTTTGTTGTGTGTCAAAAATTCTTAGATAGAATCCACTAATGGTGTCCCCAGTCATAATTTTTTCTAGATCCGTCACAGCTACATATATAGGCTAATTACAAATTAGAACATGTAAACTAAGGTTTATGGCTTGTATATTTTTTTAAATTAAATTATACTCTCTCCGTTTCAAGTTAACTTTTATTTAACTTCTTTCTCTATTTTCGTTGATCATTTAATAAAGAGTAGATTCCCAAAATAGTCCTTTATAATAAGAGATTTTCCCAAATTAGTCCTCAATAAGTTTTAATTACCTACGTGGTCCTCTATAATTGAGATTTATTCCTAAAATAGTCCTTTGTAATAAGGTGTTTTCCCAAATCAGTCATCAATAAATTTTAATTACCTAGGTGGTCCTCTATAATTGAGATTTATTCCCAAGATAGTCCTTCATAAATAATTTTACTCAAATGAAGATTAATTGAAGGTATTTTTTCTCTGCTAAATTTAGAATTAATTTTTAAAATAATCATTTATAATGGAGTGCTTTCCCAAAACGGTTTTTCTAACTAAAGATGTGTATTTTATTTGAAATTTAAAACATTTTTTTTAAGTTTTAAATAATTCATAAATTATTTATGAGTAAATTCTCAAAATGGTCCTTTGTAATAAGGTGTTTTCCCAAATCAATCCTCAAATGAGAATTAATTGGGAGATATTTTGGTATTTTGATAATCCAAATTTAAAGTATATTTTCGAAACAATCATTTCTGTACAACTAAATGTAAAATTTAAACAATACATTGACTATAAATAATTTATGATTTATTTTAAACTTAAAAAATCTTTTAAATTTGAAATCAAATACACATTTTTAATTAGAAAAACCATTTTGGGAAAGCACTTTATTATAAATGATTATTTTAATAATTAATTCCAAATTTAGCGAATAAAAAATACCCTCAATTAATCCTCATTTGAGTAATATTATTTACGAAAGACCATCTTCGGAATAAATTTCAATTATAGAGGACCATGTAGGTAATTAAAGCTTATTGAGGACTGATTTGGAAAAATACCTTATTACAAAGGACTATTTTGGGAATAAATCTCAATTATAGAGGACTACGTAGGTAATTAAAACTTATTGAGGACTAATTTGGGAAAATCCTTTATTACAAAGGACTATTTTGGGAATTTACTCTTTAATAAAATTATATGATTAAGTAACCACTAATTTGTTTGTAATTTTTTATAAAATGTTTGAAAATGTAATTTTTATTTTTTAATTCAAACATGTTGGGTATAGAACACACAACACACACAAAAAATTGGTGAGAATCAAGAGAGAACAGAACACAAACGACGCACAAGAATTTAACATGGTTCGGTTGCAACGGCGGGTTTTATTCACTTAAAGTATCTCAGGAATTACAAGTACATGATGCATATACGGAGTATATATGAAGAAACCTAAAACTACAAAACTTGTTCCCAAAGAAACAAAGACGGGCTGACCCAAGTCGGGCCCGAACGTATTTAGCCTCCACAGATCTAACAAAACATCGTAAATCGGAACAGATGATTTAAAATGGGATAGAGGAAGTATAACTTAAACTTACTTTTTCTTAAAAAAATACAGTATTACTCCCACAAAACACTCTTTCTTTCTATTTTCATTCGTCCCAAAAAATACATCACTTTTCTATTAAAAAGTCAATTTCATTTCTATTAATTTTTAACTTACCTATTACATCACACTTTTTCTCTATTAATTTACTCATTTAATCTTATTTTATCCACCACACCAAATGACATTTTTAGGAAGTCAACACCAAAATAGACTTTATCTTCTTGTGGAGGTAAGATCGGTCGATTGCCGTAGCTGCAATTGCAAGCTTTTTTATTTCTTATTTTCTCACTACTTTGAGTAGTTTTGAATTTTGATGATGCGTCTAAGATTATTTGTTTTCCCAACCAAAGTACATAAAATTCATCCCTTGAACGAACGGTCAGCTGAGTTAACTTTAAAGGATGAATTTTACAACGCCTTAAAATTTAAAATTGTGATACTCCCTCCGTCCCACTCTTTTTGTCCACTTTCATTTTGTCGTTTCTTGTCGTTTTTTGAATTTGATTGAAATTGAGTTGAAATTACGTGAAATTGATTGCATTTAAGTAAAATTTAGTTGAGTTTGGGTAAAATCAAGTGCACTCGGTGATATTGAGTTGCAATTGAGTGAAATTAAGTTGAAATTGGATTGAAATTACTATTTGTAATATTATTATTATTATTATTTTAACATTATTTTTTTTAATATCTATCTGTTTTGATCTAAATAGATGTGATCTAATTCTAATAGATTTGATTTGATCTGAATGGATTTGATTCGTAATTTGATGTGATCCCAAGTAATAAGTAGTAGAAATAAGTCGAAAGAGAACGGGGCCTTAGAGTTAAGTAAAAAATTTATAATTTGGTGAATAAAACTTGCAATATAAACTCCATGTTTACCAAATTATTGTTTTTTTCTCCACTCTAGCATACTACTCGTACTATTTTTCCACTTTGAAGTACCTGTAAGTAGTGTAATGGAGAACATTACAAAATGAAGGTAATAACTGCAAGGAAGAAAGTGTATTATTATTTATTTTTACTTTTTACAGTAGCCTACAAATGTAGTAACTAGAGCAGCACTGCTGAAGTTCTTGCACATGTTTCTTATGCCTGAATTGCTTTCCATCTCGTCTCTAACACTATGTTTGATTCAAGGATTTTGGAAGGAAAAGAAAAGAAAATGGTTTTCTCTCATTTTCCTCACCAAAATGGAAAAAATTTGGTTTTTCCTCTACTTGGTACATTTTGCCTCCTCATTTTCTTTTTCTTCCACTTTTCCTTTCTTTTCCCCTCTAACCAAACAAGAAAAACAGTTTTCCACTTCATTTTCTTTTCTTTTCCCTTTCAAATTCCTTGAACCAAACATAGTGTAAAAGTCTAAATGTGTAAGTTTCATTTTCAAGGGGCTCTACTCAATCTCACCAACTACATTGTAAATGTTCCTCTCCCTACTCTGTTTCTGTGTGTGTATATGCTCTACTTAATCGTGTGTAACTGCCTTTCTCACTATTATTTCTCTTAATTGTCTATGTTTCCTCTATTAAAAAATATCCCTTTTTCTTTATTTTTTGATGGGATCTGTAAAGTTCTTCATTTGGCAGTTTTCATTTCAGTTTATGATTCAAATTGTTTCTTGTAAGTTGTAATATGAAGTTCTTGATGTTGTTTGTGAGGTTTTGGAAACTTCTATAAAAGAAAAGGGGTGTAATCCTAGCTAGTTGTTTCCATACATAGTAAATTGTGGGCTAGCTGGAAATAGTTGGTAAATTCTGAATTATTAGATTCTTAAAGAACAAATATATATTGCAGGGAAATGGGAGAAGCTACTGAACTCAATTTCCCTGAGGTAATTGGTGGGATATTATCAGAAGAACAAATGGCAGTTTTTTATGAGACTATGAAGAGTGTTGTTGTTTGTGTAGAAGTTTATTCACACGAATATTCATCTTTTGACTGCGAAGGAGCAGGCGTTTTTATTTCACCTCGACATATTTTAACCTTGTCTACCCTACTTAATGATGACAAAAATGCCCAAGTGTTGGTGAAAACTCAAAATGACACTGAGATTGGATGTCGTGTTAGCTGTCTTGATAGTAAATGGGCTTAGCCATTCTTGAGATCGAAAACTCAAGTTCGAGTCAACATTTTCCCTTTGCTATGATTTCTGATAAAAAGCTCAAGATTGGTGCCCAAGTTTATTGCATTGGGCATCCTGCAGGATACTTGGATTATTCTTTCCAAGTTGGACATATTTCATATCCATGTCTAACATATGGTGAGTATATGAAATCGATGGGAAAAGATCAGAAAGCGTCTATTGAAGAGATAACCATGGATCCAAGTGCTATGTTTATATGTTATGTTCCAGAAGTGGATGATCTTAGTCTTAAAAGCTCAGTAAAGTTGGTGCAACTCAACAATGTGCACGGGGATGGTCTTGCGGTGCAAGAGGAATGCCTGTGTTTAATTCCTTGGGTCATATTATTGGCCTGTACCTATTTGAGTCTAGAGATCAATGTTACCCCATACATGCAAAGACATTGAGGGCCTTTATTAGGAGATCCAAGACTTCGAGGTAATAAATTAACACTCTTTATTGATTAAACATGTCGGCCACTAGTTCTATATCCCTTGTGACATTTGATTCAACTCATAGAATAAAATCCAGTTAGAAAAGGAAATTCATGTGCTTATGGATGACTCACTTAACTACAAACATTGGTGCCTGGCCTTATCTCTTATGGAAGGAATTAAGTGTCTTATGTATGGTTTACTTAAGAGTCTGCTGTTAACTTATTCGTGTGGAATTGGTGTCTCATGTCTTACTTTTTTTTCCATTAAAAGTCAAAATAAATTAAGTGAACCATAAAGAGGTTAAATTGGTGAACCATGCACTTAATTCCATGAGACATGCACCCATGTAATCTCTATCTGTTATTCTGTTAACATACTGTTCTGCACTATGGAGATTCACTTAATTCCATTTTTGTGAATCATTAGTCTCCTTCCCAAAAGTTCACTGGAATAGAATCTTTTTCATTGCAATTTAAAGTAAAATGTGTTGAATCTTGAGATCTTTTGATTTTATTGGAATCAATTCAAAAAAAAAAAAGCACAAAATGTGAATTCAAAATTTTACGTATAACTTGAATAATTTGAAAAATTATTTTAATATTTTTATAATGTGATTGACTCGTAATTATTTATCTTAATAAGAAAATATCTAAACTAATTTCAAAGCAGATGTTTATAAGTTATGGATGGGTATTTCTTTGGACCATAAGAAAAAGTAAATTAAAAAATTTAAAAAAATGTAGGAGTAATTGTAGAGAGTGTGGCGGATTGGAATATAAATTTTGTTAATTTGAAAGTACAACTGAATCTATTTTGCAAATGTTTTAAGTTCTTTTTCTTCATTTTAAACAATAAAATTATTTTTTGCTCAGACCTTTTAAAGTTCAGGTCCAGACCAAACTGATAGAACGAGACAGTTAGGTCTAGTCTAGACTGAACTTAGACTGAGTAGATTTAGGGTCGGTCTTTGGTCCAAGATATTTACGTATGGTAATTAATAAAAAGTTACATTATGTATGGTAATTAATAATAAATGTACAAGAATATTTACGTTCCTAACAGCTTTACGTTATCTTTTATGTTTGACACTAGCTATTATAATTCTTCATTTAACATTTATTTCTTTACTACTCCCTCCGTCCGGAAACATTAATTTAACATCTACAAAAGACAAATTTGTGAAGTTTGTGAGTTATTTGTTTGCGACTCTAACATTTTTTGTTTTTATTTAGAACACTCCATTTGTTTAGAACAATTATTTACTTACCATTACCGTATTCCTTCAAGTACCGTGCTGCAAAATTAACATTTAATTTTGGATTATTATTATTATTATTATTATTATTTATTATTTATTATTATTATTATTATTATTACTATTATTATTATTATTATTATCGTTGTTGTTTTTGTTAGTGGTACCATTTAATAAGGCCGGCCACCTGTTATTAACGACCCTGACAATTTTAGTCATTAGTTACGTTACCATTTACGTAGTACATTTTACACGGTCACAGTTTTACATGTTTCCGTTTATTTTTATTTATTCTTACATTTATAGTATACTATATTCATGAACATAATTTATGTTACAAATTATACTCATGATAAAGTATAATGGGAACATAAATAACTATACAGGGTCAAAGTTCTATTTAATTATATTTATTTTTTGTCATTATATTAATAATTTTAGTTATTATTTTGTTTATTAATTTTAGAAATGGCACGATATTTTTGTCTATGAAACGACACTAATAAATTTTATAACTCACTACAAATTTTTTTTGTATTGAAATTTCTTTCTTTATCGATACTTTAGATTATTTTTGATAATTCAATATTATATCTTACCAAAACAGAAAAAAATTATAAATCATTAGACAAATCTCTAACAAGAGTGTACTATTATATTTTTAAAAATATTAGTTTTAAATTTTTTAATTTAAAAAATAAAAAGTATGTTTACCTAAAATAACCACATCTTTAATTTATTTGTCAAAAACAAGCATTTTCTAAAACTTCTGTTAAGTGGCCGTTAGTTTTTTAACGGCGAACCAAAACTCACATGCATACGGAAATGTGGGATTATTTTTGGTGACAGTAAAAAGTGAGATTATTTTTGAAAAACACGAAAAGGTGAGATTATTTGAGATACTTTTTCCAAACAATAAAAATAGTGACCTTTGTGCATGTTTGAGATGTCATATATTATGAATATAGATGAAAAGTGTTATTGGAATTATATATTCATTTTCTAATACTATTGACTCAATTATAATGTTGTACGTAGTATATGTTTTTACTTTTCTCTCTCTAGTGATGGGCAAATATACAATGCATCCGTCTCCGCCAGAACGTGCAGGGTGAATGAGTTCCCCATGAATTTTGGGCAATGACTTTCCTACCACCCATGAATTTTGGCTGAGCAATTTGTTTTATGATTTTCGAACGGTATCAAAACTTTACTGTAGAGCTTCAATCTAAGGCCCTGTTCCGTTCAACTAATTTTTTCTACTTTTTTTATTCTTATTAAAATCAGATCAGATCAGATCTAATCAGATCGAATCATATTAGATCGAATTGAATTAGATCATATTAAATTCAATCAGATCAGATCCAATCAGATTAGATCCACTGAGATCATATCAGATAAAATTAGATCCAATCAAGAAATATTTTTTTCATAATAAAAAATTATAGAAAGAATCCTTTTCAAGTTTTATATAAATCAAATACAAAATCATTGATATTATTGATACTATTACAAAATGCATATCATGAAAAAATTTCATTTGAGTGTTTTTAAAAATTAAACAACTTATTTGAAAAAATAAAATCAATTCTTCATTTATAAAGTTTTAATATTATTTTTTAATATGTAAATTTTATTTTTTGACTTAGTAAAATAACTCGAGTATATTAATATAATTTTAGCCAAATGTTATAAATTACTTTCTTTAGGTATTTATAAATGATAGAGTGTGTGTCTATATATGTGTGTGTGTACATATATTTATTTATTTACATATTTATTTATTTTCATATTTATTTATATAATTTTTAAATATATTTAAACTGGTAGAACCAAATAACCAATAGGCCATCTAAAATTACTAAAAGGATCATGCTACACTTACACCAACAAATATACCCTATTTGTACACCACAGGTTTGCACAAACATTTCGATGGTTTACACCGACACAAGTGTTGGTGCGTTAATAAAAATTCACACGGACACAAATGTTGGTGTGTTTAACAAAAATTAGTTTTACACTAACACAAAATGTTGGTGCAAAACTGCGGGGTACAAATTGGGGTACAAATATAGCATAATCCTTACTAAAACCCTACGGTGTTCCAGAGAATCCGAACCGGTATCGAACTTGTCCCCATCCCGCGCTACAGCAAAACAACGAAACCAACCCCGACAACCTAGACACAAACATTCCCACCGAAAAACTTTTTCACACTCCCTGCTTCAATATTCATCGTTCTTCTCACCTCTCGCGTGTTATCCCCTACTGTTATCATCAGAAATCAATTCACGTATTTATCTCTTGTACTATAATCAAGTAAGTTCGATATTGGCGATGATTCGTTATGTGATCTGCTCTTTCTCAATTTGGGTTAGATCTTATTGGTTGTAATTAGTTGATTTCTCGTGGACTATAAATTTTGTACTTCCTGTGTCTGGCTTTGATTTTGAAGTCATTAGAAGCATTGTTTAACTTCACTGTTTCCTAGCTCCTCAAACGAGATTCAGCATTAGATCGTCGAAATCAGGCCTACTAACTGACTCAACAATTCAGCGTATCATTCAAAATAGACAATGTAAATAACAACAAGAGCTAGTAACAGAATTGTGTCAAAACAGGAAGGTTTTTGTAGTAAAAGTTCATTAAAGTTTTAAAATCAATCACAATGTCTTAAAAAAGGAACGATTATCCAGAATATCTCCTCCTTTATCCAGCCTTTCAAAAAAAAAATCTACTCCATACCTTTTATTTCGATGTATAATAATCCTACCTTTACTGAAATGTGTGCATTTTGGGTTGCCGTTAAGCTATTTTACGGCTGGTTAACAAAAAACGCATGTTTTACTCAACAAAATGATAGGTGAGAGTATTTTTTTTATCATTTTTTCTTTTAATTTTTTTTTTTGAAATTGGGTTGGTAATTTTTGTTAAGTTGGACAGCTTTAGTTTTATTTCACTAATTGTGCATGGAATTTGATCGAAAGGAGTGATGGCTCTGTGTTGGATTTAGATTTACTTATTGTCCAAGGCTAGTCACTTCCTTGCGCCCGTATTGGGGATTTGTAAAATTTGGTCCAAACAGCTGGTTGTCCAACTTTCTGCTCCAGAAAAATCAGTCCGGATCGTAGTTAGCCCCTTTGCTCTTCACTTTGTTCAAGGTTCTCTTTCATTTTAATATCTACTCTTTAATTTCCTTCAAAGTTTCTAATTTTCATCTAACATGAATATTTGTTTCAACTAAAATTAATTAGTGGGTAATTGTGTTAATTTTTTATTTCTAAATTCAGATATTTTGTGCGAGTGGTGGGAGAAAAAAATTACTTTTTTATTTTATAGGAATAAATGCCTTTAGTAAGATGGTAATTGCCGAAGTTATTTGTTGCATCTCTCATGTTCTTTTTTGTGTGGCCATGTAGGTGTCATATTTGGTCATTAAGCTTCTTGTATTTCTAGAGCATGGATTGGACGTGGCATCGCGGCCGATGTTAGTCTTACGGTTAAATTATTTCACACACATATATCTTTGTATATTATGTTAATCCCTAGCTAATGTTCTTTTTATTATATCTTCTTTCATGTTGAAGCTATACGAGCTTTGACTAGTAGTTATTCTCATTTTGGCAAAGTTGTTGAAGATTATTATCATCTCGACCCCATCATTAAGAGGGCTGTGATGAGAGCTTCTTCAAGCGTTGTCTCCATTATAACCCAAGCTGGTACGTCTCAGTCTGATCTTCTTTTCTGATTTCTATATGTCTTTATTTTCATCATCTATACCATCTTCAACACAAATAGGTTTATAAATGCCCACAGGAAAAGAATTGCTGCATATTGGATCTGGGACTATAATTGAATATGATGAACATTATGGATGTGCTACTGTCCTCACTTCTGCGTCTCTACTCCAAGCCCCTGGAGTTGCTGGGTTTCTACCTTCTGATCTTAAGGTTGGTGATACTTCTTAATGTTGGGCACCATGTGGTTGTCCTATGTTTCTCTACTTCCCATTTGTATATTAGTTACGAGTAATTGCAGATATGTTTCCACTCTAGTGGTGTGCATCTTTTGATGACTTGTGAAATTTGTTGTTTTTATGTAACCATGTTGTTAGTAAAGTAGGTTCAGACATGTTTGAACATGTTTGATGGTTGCATTATGTATTGAGTAAAATCAGTAAATATTGAGTATAAGCACCTACTACCTCCATTCCTCTTTAAATTTTTTTGGACCGAATGTACAAAATCCACAAATATATTGATCACCAAACATTCCCAACAAATTACAAGCAAGCAGAATCAGTAAGGACTAACAAAACAAAACTAGTTGCGAAATACATATTTTTCTTCCTAAACATTTTCTTACTCTATACTTGTGAGTAGTATGTTGTTTGATGGGCATATTCCACCCAATACCGGACCAATGAAAGTCCACAAATGTTTGACTGGTCAAACGATGAATTTTTGAAATAGGAAGCTTAAACGAGAAAAGTTTATATTGGTCGGTGACAGAAATTTGACCGGTACACTTTGATTACTCTACCGATCAAACGACGTTACCGGTATGTTTTCTAGGGCTGAGAAGTGTCGGCATGAAAGAATCCAAGGGAGGTTCGATTGTAGCGGCCGAATTCAACGAAGGATCACTGAAGATATTCACGTAATCAGTCTAACACGCTACGCGACAAGGGAGTCACCTTCCTAGCTAGATGACAAGGGAATTAAGGGATGAAACAAGCCACTAAAACATAGCGGCAATCATCTCGCGCCACCTAGTGTGGCGCCTTGTCCCCTCTAGCTTCCTATAAATACTTGTGTAACCCTCAAATGAAGGGATCCAAATTATTCTCTCTAAAAACCCTTGTGTAATAGCTTTCGTGCACTTTACAATATTCTAATAACAATTGTGCTACATGTGTTTTCATCTGGAGTCCTCCCGGTTAACTTTGGTGTTTACTACCTTTTACTTTCTCGAATCCAATGAACAATCCTAGACCCGGTCTAGTACTGTTTACCTGATTGGTAATTTACACCATCATTTTTGGTGCCACCCTTGGGACCGATAATGTTTCTTTCTTCATCCATAAAACCAAATCATGAAAACACCACTCTCTTGAACAACCTTCTGCCCTGGTGTAAGCCACCGCTGAAGGAGTGACCATACCGATGGTTACTTCCCAACCAGCTCACTCTGTCGCCGTGATGCCGATGGGTTTAAGCCCCATCTCGGCACCCAACTATCTCCACTCCGTTCACAATCCACATTCCGTCTGCCAGGCCAAGAGGGTCATGTTTCTCAAGCATGACCCAATTCATGAATGACCTGGCCAACTAGCAAGCTATCCAAGGTTTTGGCCAGGTCATGGCCATGTGTCAACAAAGCAGAGGGATGCCCTTCCTCTCGGGAATGTTTCCGTTCGCTCTCCCAGGCGCCAGAATGTTGCCGCTACAGGCTCCGATGACAGTGTCACCCTTCCAGACGCCGGTGCCTCATCACCCTTCCAGCCACAGGTGGTCAGCGCCATGGCCCCTGTTAATCAGATCGGTGCACTGAATGTGGCCGGGCCATCGCGCCCTCCCTTGTGTGCACGCCATCCCCAAAGCACCCTCGAGGGCCATTGCATCTCAATTGAGAGGGATGACGAAGAATGAGACATCCCCAGAGCCCACAAGAAAAAGGCAAGACCCAGAGGCCGCAACCTCCCGTGACTCCGCCTTCGAAAGGCTCGGGGAGAGAGAGGAGTGCCAATGCAAGTGTGCAAAGATGAGGTTGGGACAATGCATGGCCCATGTCAGGGCATTTGCCCGGTTAGGCGAGGGGACGGAAGTTGAGCCTGACCATACCCGTCGCACCCGGTCAAATCAGGCTGAACCCGCTAAATCACGGGTTTCGCATCGTGAGGAAGAAGCGGAAAGCCAACCCAGAGAACCTCTTTGAAGCAGGTTAGGAAACCCCCCCAGATCGCGTCCAGCGGATGGAAGCGAAGCTGGAGATGTTGGAAAAAAGGGTGGAGGAGAAGAATGACAAAGAGAAACGCCTTGCAGATTCTCCATTCAGTGCAAGGGTCCACCTGATACCTTTTCCCCGAAACGTAAAGGTGGAAGCACCAAAATTCACGGGAAAGGAGGATCCCAAGATTCATTAGGATTCCTTTAACTAGAGTGCAATCATGATGGGGTGCACCGGTGAGGAGAAATGCCTCCTTTTCTTTCAGACCCTGGGAGGTAGGGCCACAAAATGGTTCAATAAACTCCCCCCGGGTGGTATTGACTCATTTACTGAACTGGGCTCAAGTATCAAGGCCAAGTTCCACGAAAACTGCATGAAGAGGAAGAAGTTCACCTATCTAAGTACACAGGCAAAGGGAATCTGAGAACATCACTCAGTTCCTGACCTGGTGGAAAGATGAGGTGGACAAAGTCGAAGAAATGGATGACAAGACGGTTTTTTCTCTCTTGCTGAATGGCCTGCATGCCGGGAACTATACAAAGAGTTCTTCCGGAGGCCCCTGCCACATATCAAGAGGCTTACCACACGGCCTGGGATTCGCTGAAGCCGAAACCCAGGATCCGGCAAAGAAGGAAGCAGAGCACGGCCACAAGCCCAAAGGCAAACTTTCCAGAAAGCTCAAAGGCAGTTGATATAAATTCTTTCCCTTGTGTCAGTATCTGTTCTTTTTTATTTTTGTATTAAACCTGCAGCTAAGTCTATGAAGAGAACCAGTTAAATGCAGCTCCTAGGCATGTTAGAAGTCTCACATAAAGAATTTGTTCAGTTATACTGGATTGATTAGGCTTTTTGTGTGTTTGACTGGTTTTCGTGTATTTGACTTTGATATTTGTGTGGGCCTGTATTTCCGTAGGACAATATAAACTAGTGTTTAAAAGATTGACTTGGCCACATACATATTTGACATGCTTTGCCCTTGTATCCATTAACGAATGATGAACTGAAACTGCAATAACAGGGCTGTTGGTGATGTGTAGTCATCGGCCCAAAGTGGCCCACTTGTAGACAACTGAGAATTAGGAGACCAGATTAGGGTTTCGGCCGGCCCAAATGGTTTTAAGCCCAGTTTGCTATAACTTGTCCAGCAAGGGTTAAACCCTAATTAGTTGTCTATATATTTGATCTCCTGTACTTGTAATCATCATCACTCAATAATACAAACCCTAGTTGCCCCTGTGGATGTAGGTCAGATTAGACCGAACCACGTTAAATCTCGTGTTCTCTATTGCTTTCTTGCTTTCTATTCGTGTGTGTGTGCTTTTGTTCTTAACAA